TAAGTAAAAATAAGTCGCCGTGTACATGGTTTATGTCTATGTGTTATTTTGAAAAACGCGTAAGGAGTATGGTATTGTGCAGTTTTTCCCAATTTTGCAGTGAATATTTGTCATGATTAAGCAGTTTTGTTTGATAAAATTTCTAGCCTAAGTGTAATTCGGCTACTAGATTGTTGGAAGAAGTGTTCAGTAGATAAAAAGAAAAGAAACATGTCTTTACTTCGTGAAGACAAAATGGCGGCGGGGGAAAAAAAATAGAGGGTTGCTGTAGGAGAGTTGGTTGCCAAATTTTCGCCAAAAAATCGCCAAGTTACCATAATGTAAAGATCAACCTAGTTTTGTTTTATAATTAGTTTAACGAATTGTTAGAAAAATATTTTAGGTCATTTCCATTTTTCCCCTGTTGATATTGGTATATTAAAATATATGGAATAATTAAGTTGCATCTAGTTAGTAAAACAAAACATTACGAAAAGTATGATACGGCATATTTTTAATCAAATTACTTCATTTTGGAATTATAATATTTTCGGTAAGAAATTAATACCACTGAAAAAATAATATTATTACACTAAAGGAATAAACGGAGATTCTCGACAAGCCGTGTTGTTCAAATTTTTGTCTAATTTTACTTCATTAACACATCTCGTACATAAACATATTAGACTGAATTATAAACCAGGTATAACTTAATTAGATAATCCTAGAAAAAGAATAAACTAAGCCTAGTAAGCAAAAATACGTATACATTACATTCAGAATTCTAAATGTTTATGTAAACGTTTCTCTCGCAAGGCCTGACGGGAAAAAGATGTCAAACGTTCTTTGGTCAGACGATTGGAAAACGAACGCTAACATGATTAGTTTTTGTTTTCAACAACCACATTACCATTTCAATTAAATACCACAAACAGTGATTAAATTTTGGAATAATTAGTTTTAAATAATAATACGGGCAATTTAAGGCGTAATTTATCGGAATGCACAATAATGATAATGCAAAATGACTACAAAAACTACTACTATTAGATCTTGCATTTGGAATAAATATTTTGCAACTGTTTCAACTCATTAGACATTACGAACACTGATATTAATTAATCGCAAAGCTTAAACGTTTAAATACTTACTCACTACATATAACAGTGCAAAAGTGCATGAGAATAATCTGCATAAAATGAACAAAAAATATTCAAGCAGTATTTTGTAAAACATTTTCTTACTTACCTGCGCTATACAACCAACATGCATTCAGCCATGTTTTTTTCTGCAACTAGCTTTCAAACACTTTTCTCCTGATTGGCTAATTTCCAGTCAGTCACGTGATTCTTCCGTTACAGGAAATTCTTCTGTAACTTTTTGATTTCTGTAACTTTACAAAACTTTTGCTTGTAAAGAGCGAACTTTTTTTTAACCGTGTAGATGTATTTCTGTTATTTTTATTATAACAATTATTAAATTTAATGCACTCCTACAGTGTATCTAAACTGAAACGATTAAATAATTCTACACGCATTTAAAATACTTTTTAGATAGTTTTTATGCAAACTAAATGTTTCTTAGCCCTCTGGCCGGAAGGGGTTTCAAAAAAAGCTCTCATTTCCAGAAACTGCCAGGAGAAAGAAATTCTTGATTTTAATACCAAAATACCCCTGGTACTTTATACCTAGATTTCTGTTCTTTTAGTATCTTGGACATATTTCAAGATGCATAACTCTCTTACAAACATCACAAAAAATATTCTAGGCCGTATGTATACGTAGTTGCTGGTCAGCGGGTTTTGAGGGTTAAACTTAGTGAGCAGTTCTTTTAAATATAGTAGTCTATCAAACGGTAGAGTTTGCGACTGGGAACCTTTTGAACATTTTTTGTAAAATAGTGTAAAAATAATTGTCTGCCTTATTTTACATTTTAGGTGTTTTTAAAATGCGAAGCCATTGTTTATGTTGCTTATTTGAGTGTTAAAAAATGTAATTACTTCAGTTGATTTAAAGTATTAATTTTGAATTTAAGGTATTTAATTTATTTGTGTACTTTACAAAAACTCTTGTTATAAACATCCGTTTCTGACAAAGTAGCGTATCCGAGGCAGTCCTATGCACCTTCCCCAATTTTTTTTCTTCTAACAAAAACTGATAAAAACCAAAAGTGGCATTAGTATTTTGCTAATTTTCTTATTGAAGAAGGTCTTTTAGATTATCCTATCCTCTTATTTCCCTCTTATCGGAAGCGAGCATACACTATCTACCAATAAGTATTTGGACACCCATGCAAATGCCGACATCTGAGGTTTTAATACATGTCACGCCCTCCAACCATTTAAATACCGTGCAGGAAACAGCATTAGCACTAGTGGTATGCAAGATGTCACGAAGTGCGGATTTATCTGATTTCAAAAGATGTGAAATCGTCGTATATCGCAAAAATGGCCGATACTTAAGGGGCAAATCTAGTGAGCTGAGTTACCCAAATTCGACAGTGGCCTATGTGATTCAGAAGTGGAAGGTGAGCGGTGATTATCAGAATTTGCTTTGAGTTGGCATAGCCGCAAAATTGGAAGATAGGAACCGACGGGTACTGACCAGAGGAATTCTGAAGAACCGCAGCCAACCGATGGCCCGCATACTCCAGAAGTTTCAACTGGCAACCGGAAGTGTTGTTTCGATGAATACCATACATAATAAAGCACATCTGCTTGATTTTCATGGTCGTGCTGCTGCCGTCATACAAGGACTTTTGGAAAGCATATCCCGGAGGATTGAGGCTGTAATTACGGCTCGTGGGAGCTCTACCAAGTATTGAAGTTGAATAAATTTTGTTTTTTCTTTTCTATCACAGGTATACAAATATTTATTGGTAGATAGTGTATATGCCTATTATTTATGAGACCGATAATTTTGATATCCATGATTCAAGAAAAAAGACCATTGCTGAAATGGAAAACTGGATTTATACAGAATGGAATATTTGGTGGGAGTCATCTGATAACAAAAAAGAGTTATTGAAGAATATTAAACAAGAAGATGAATATTATAAATAATGTTGATATAAATCAGATACATGGGCGTTTCCCGGCTATTTTAATCGGTTCCATCTACAAAATAATGATAAATGCTTCATATCTGATAGGTTTGAAAACGCCAGGCACTTCATCGATGAATGTACGCTTACCCAGAGTACAAGAAAGAAATATAGAAAGAATAATTTTAAGGAAGATTTTAACAGGAACTATTCAAATTTGAAAGATTTTTCAGAGATAATAATGACGATTATAAACACGAAAAAAGATAAAACTGGAATTCGGCACTGAGACTCAGATTTTGGACTTTATATGTTTATTCTTATTTTTGCGTGCTTACGGGTTCGTAATAAATTGAACGCACAAGTCCGATGAAAAGCGAATAAAATTTATTCTTATCACAACAAATAAAACAAAATACTGAAATATCTTCACAGATATTCTAAAATATCGCAATATCTCACAGTAGTTATATTTTAACTACTAAAAACGTTTTACGGAACACATTTCAAAACAGAGAAACATAGAGAAAGCTAATCCGAGCTCGCCGCGAATTCGCTACAGTAAACAACAGCAGTTTTCTAAACAACTTCTAAAACAACTCAATTGAGATTTTTCCACCAGCTTTTATAAGCTTTTTAAACCAAGCACGAGAATATTCTGGTATTTTCTCGATTTTACCGAAAAGTAAAAGCGTATAATTATGAGATATCTATTTTTTAAATGCACGTGCTCTTGTATTTTTAATTTTTCGGCGTGGCTTTCTCTTCAGATAAGTCTAGTGCTGCATTGCACGGTGATACAAAACAATTTTAATTAAAAATTCAACGAAAATAGCTAAATAAATACAAAAACTGTAACACTGCCCCCTTCCCAAGGACTGCACGTCCCGATCAGTAAAATCCTTGGACAGGAAGCCCAACTTACAACTAAGCCAAAAATGAAATAATAAACATTACATTACAATAACAAACAACATAAACAATAATTCAATAAGTAACAAATCAAATACTAATGAAATGAGTGCATAAATTTTACAAATTTAGAAACAAAAAGGACCATGGTTTTACAGTATTTACAATTATTTACACTACGTACTTTGGCCATAGTAAGGCGCTGTCGCATAGTAAGGTTACCTGTCGTAATGAACGATTTTAGAGTTCGATGACTTACGAATCCGAACCACGATGTCGTTCAGCCTGTTTAGGATTGTGTCGTTTCGGATAGAGTCCTTTCCGTCGAGTCGGATTCCATAACTACGCCTTGTCTCCTTCGTTGAATCGATATGCAGTAGTTCTCGTGTCGTATCGGGTCTTCATCTTCTCCGTCGCCAAGTTGACTCGCTCTCGTGCAAAATTGTGCATCACTTCAAACCGGGCCTTAAAATCTTTATTCCTCAGTATAATTTTATTTTTTATTCCTTGTATTCCTCAGGCGATGAAAGCACATCCGGAGAGGACATGGATCACATGGCAGACGAAGGTCACGAAGAACATCTGAGATGGCGAATAGCCGGTAGTCTCGTGTTTCTCTTCGACCTTAGTATGATTTCGGTAGATTTCTGGTCTAGGTTTTTCAGACAAGGCGTCGGCGTTTCCAGGTGAGTATCCCTTCTGATTATGGGTAGGTCCTCTGATGCTGAAAGCAGGTAGTTCTTTTTGAAGTCCAAGGAAAAATTGTATTTCCTTAAAAAGTCCAATCCGAGTATGCAAGGATCTGTAATATCTGCCACATATGCCGTGTGATGGTAGGCGGCACTTCCAAACGTGATGTTCACGTCCCCAGCTGTGTCTATTTCATCACCAGACGCAGTCTCAAGGGTAAGACAGGATGGCGTCCAAATGAGTATCTTTTAACTGTTGAGCTAAATCTCTCCGAATGATGGTAACATTAGATCCTGTGTCAATGATCATATTACAAGGAACTCCATCGATATGCCCATTGATAGACAATCCGTTACTGTTGCCACTCACTGTAGAAATCACTGTAGAAAATCGAGAGCAAGTGCTTTAAAACAAGTTTTTTCATTATCTGGCAACCTCCTTTCCTCACTATGGACACTCATATATTTCCCCCGTCGTTGCTGGTAAATAGTCTTAATTTCTGTGCTCTGGAGTGTTCTGCAGTTCCTTCGCAGGTGGCCTTCAGCTCCGCAGTTCCAACACTTTGGTTTCTCGTCACTCCTTTCCCGTCCCATGGCATTTAATTGTCTGTTCAACTCGTCTATCTTATTCTCCGTGCTCTGGGGTGTTCTGCAGTTCCTTCGCATGTGGCCTTTAACACCGCAGTTCCAGCACTTTAGGGTCGGTTTCCTCTCACCAGTATTCCGTCTCAAGGCAGTCACTGGTCTTGTCAAATCATTCGTTTTCTTTTCCGTGGCCTGGGGTGTTCTGCAATGTCGTCGTATGTGGCCTTCAGCACCATACAGCCAGTCCATTCTCACTCCTACTCCGTGTCAAAGCGTCGACTTGTCTGGATAAATCATCTAAACGAACCATCAATTGATTCACTGGCTCGTGGACTCGCACAGCTCTGACTGGGTAGCGATCTCTACGAGTTGCTTGCTAGGCTGCCTCGAATTTCACGGCGTACAACAGAGCGCTTTTTGTGTCCATTACATCCGCCATTCGCAGAACGTTCTGTATTTCAGGATCCAGGATGCCGTCGATGAAGTACTGCAGGGGCAGGATTTCCTTTGTTTCTGTCGAGCACTCCAAAAAGGCGAGATGGGATAGCCTTTCAACATCTATGGCGAGTTCCGGGAGTGTTTCCGTGGGCTTTGAAGCCTACTGTAATCTTTCAAACACTCTTCCACAAAGCGCAGCTCCAATGCGCCGGACAAAGCTTCGAAGTCTAATCTCTGATTTTCGGGAAGAGTCTGCAGGATATCCGTGCGTCTGCTCTCAGAGAAGCGGCGAGATTGCAGCCTTAGCTTGGGAATCCCATCCGTTCGCCTCCACCACGATGTAAAATTGTGTCTTATATACTTTCCAGGAGGTCTTTCCATTATATGCAGATAGTTTCAGAACGGGACGAGCAGGCTTCGATAAAAATTTAAAACCATCCGGATTGCTCCCTGCCGTCGCTACGAATTTCTTTAAATCATCACCTTATTTGGCGACCGCAGAAACCCTGCTATAAAATACTAAATGCAAATCTAATGCTGGAAAATACTAAATACAAATCAAATGGTATAAAATACCAAATACAATTCAAATCCTATTTACATATCAAATACGAAATACAAATCAAATCAAATTCACATTTAGAAACAAAAAGGGCCATGGTCTTATACTATTTACAATACTATTTACAATTACATACACTACGTACTATGGCCATAGTAATGAGCTAACCTGTCGTAATAAACGACTTTAGGCTCTGCGTTCAAAGACTTACGGAGCCGAACCACGACGTCATTCAGCCTGTTCAGGAGTGTGTACGGACAATCCCAAGGTGACTGTAATTTCGGACAGAGTCCTTTTCATCGAGTCGGATTCCACAACCACACTTTATCTCCTTCGTGGAATTGATGTCCAGCAGCTCTCGTGTCGTATCTGGTCTTCACTTTCTCCGTCGCTAAGATGACTTGCTTTCGTGCAGAACGGTGCATTACCGCGCCTGGAAATTTTGTATATATTCCTCAAGCGATGAAGTCCCGATCCGTAGAGATGAAGCCTCACTTCTACTCGTATCCGTACAAACAAGCGGTCACAAGACAGAGGTTTTGACCGAAGAGCATCTGGGATGGAGAATAGCCGCTAGTCTGGTGTTTCTCTTCCACCCTAGTATGATCTCGGCAGCCTTCTGACCAGGATCTTTCAGACAAAATGTCGGCGTTTCCAGGTGAGGATCCCTTCTGGATGGATAGTAATGTCCTCAGATGCTGAAAGCAGTTTGTTGTTTTTGAAGTTTAAGTAAAAATTGTATTTCCTTAAGAAGTCCAATCCGAGTATGCATGGATCTGTAATATCTGACACATATGCTGTGTGATGGTAGGTGGTACTTCCAAACGTGATGTTCACGTTTAACTTCCCAGCTATGTCGATCTTATCACCAGACGCAGTCTCAAGGGTAACACAGGATGGCGTCCAAATGAGTTTATCTTTAAACTGTTGAGCCAAATATTTTGGGATGATGCTAATATTAGCTCCTGTGTCAATGATCATATTGCAAGGAACTCTATCGATATGCCTATTAATGGATAGTCCATTGCTGCTGCCACTCATCGCAAAAATCTTGAGCGCTTTAAAACGGCGTTTTTCACTGTCATTCAAACTCCGCGATATGATCATTAATTTGTTTCCCTCGTCATTTCTGGGAAAATGTCTTATTTTCCGTACCCTGGGGTGTTCTGAAGTTTCTTCGCACGTGGTCTTCAGCTCCGCAGTTCCAGCGTTTTGGTTCCTTATCACTCCTTTTCCATCTCATAGCATTTAATTGTCTGTTTCAATCCTCTATCTTATTTTCCGTGCTCTGGTGTGTTCTGCAGTTCCTCCGTATGTGGCCTTCAACACCGTAGTTCCAGCACTTTAGGATTGGTTTCTTTTCATTCCTATTCCGTCTAAATGCACTAACTGATCTTGTCAAATCATCTGTTTTATTTTCCGTGCCCTGGGGTGTTCTGCAGTGCCGTCGTATGTGGCCTTCAGTACCACATTTCCAACACTTTAGAGCCAGTTTGTTTTCACTTCTACTCCGTATCAAAGCATTCACTAGTAAAGATCAATCATCTAAACGAGCCATCAATTGATTCACTGGCTCGTGGACTTGCACAGCTCTGACTGGGTGGCAGTCTCTACGAGTTGTCTGCTGAGCTGCCTCGAATCTCATGTCGTACACTAGAGCGCTTTTTAAATCCTTGACATCGGCCATTCGTAGTGCTTTCTGTATTTCAGGATCCAGGATGCCATTGATTAAAGTACTGCAGGGACAGGATTTCCCTCGTTTCTCTCGGGCACTCTGTAAAGACGAGGTGAGATAGCCTTTCAGCATCCGTGGCGAGTTCCTGGAGTGTTTCCGTGGGCTTCTGTTGACGGGATTTTAAGTGAAGCCTACTGTAGTCTTTCAAACATTTCTCCCCAAAGCGCAGCTTCAATGCGCCGGATAGAGCTTCGAAATTTAGCCTTTGGTTTTCTGAGAGAGTTTGAAAAATATCTGCTGCGTCTGGTCTCATAGAAGCGGCGAGATGACAGGCCTTAGCTTGGGAATCCTATCCGTTCGCTTCCGGCACAACTGAAAATTGCGTCTTATACACTTGCCAAGAGGTCTTCCCATCATATGTGGATAATTTCAGCGAGGGACGAGCAGGCATGGGTAAAAATTTAAAATCATCGGAATTGCTCCCTGCCGTCGCTATGAATTTCTTTAAGGTATCAACTTCTTTGGCGACTGCAGAACCTTGTCATTGATTTGTTGTTCGATTTGGTGTTGGACAGCCGAAACTCTTCCTTCGATTTGTTCTTTCACAGAAAAAACTCTTTCTTCAATTTCTGCAACTCTATTTTCGACCGAGTCTGTTCTGCATTCCATAGCCTCGAATTTGTTTTCTATTACGCAAGTAATTTCTTTTTCATTTCGTCTTGACCTGCTTCAATCATTCCTGTGCGGCTTTCATCTCCGCTTTAACAGATTCCTGAACATTATCCATCACTTCTTTAAAAGTTATTTGGTCAGCTTTCATCTCTTCTGTAATTGATTCTTGACCTGATTTCATCTCCTCTTGACCGCCATCGCATCCTCTTTAACCGATTCTAGGATAGCTCCCATCACTGCTTTAACAGAGTTAACCGCCCCTTCCATCTTTTCTTGGAATGCAGAAAATGCAGTCATCAACTGCCTCATTTGTTCTTTCATCATTCTTATAACTGGCATTCAATATCCCACCGCTGCCACCAAACAGCGTTGCGTGCGTACGGGTTCGTAAGGAACTGAATGCACATGTCAGATGAAAAGTGAATAAATTTATTCTTATCACAGCAAATAAAACAAAATACTGAAATATCCTCGGAGTTATTCGTACAATATCGCAATAGCTCACAGTAGTTATATTTTGAACTACTAAAACGTTGAATAGAACTCAATCTAAAATACTGAGAAAGCTAATCCGATCTCACCTCGAATTCGCTACATTCAATCACAGCAGTAAGTCAGTAAGTAAACAACTGAACTGAGATGTTTTCCTCCAGCTTTTATAAACTTTTTTTGTCGTGCGCGAGAATATTCTCGTATTTTCTGGATTTTTCTGGATAGTAAAAGAATACAATTACGAGATATATATTTATTAAATACGCATGCTCCTGTATTTTTAATTTTTCCGCGTAGCTTTCTCTTCAAATTAAGTCTCGTGCTGCACTGCACAGAGATATAAAACAATTTTAATTAATAATACTAAATAGCTAAATAAATACAAAACCCGTAACAATACATTCATGCAGATTCTTCATTATTTAATTTCTTTTAATATAACACAGGGTAATAATATTTGGTGGCAGCAATTTGAAAAGTGATTCAACGTTTCGAGACTAATAGCCCTTCTGGTCTAACGCCTCTTTAGGCTAATAGTACAAAAAATAACAAAACAGTAATATAATAAACTTTTTTTTCTCTCCACAATTTTTTTGTTCATATTCTTAGTCAAATTGTTATCTTAAATTCATTAATGTTCAATTATTTCTAATATGATTATGTTGCATGTTGACTATTATAGAAACAAAATGTAATTGAACCGATGAAGAAAACTATTCTTCCAAAAGAAGTCGATGCAAGAAAAAGATTTGAAATCTCTGGTTTAAAGCTTCTCTTGACCTGGGTGTTAACTATACTGAAGGATTAGGATGGGGCGATAAATCGCCTGGCTGTTTTTACAGAGCTAGAATAGAATATTTTAAATAATTAGGTTGCGTACTGGTTAAAGTCTATTACTTTAAAATATGCATTTCAAGGTCAAAACGACCCTCGTCATCACGCACAGAGAGAAATAAGAGATTTTGGCAAATTAGAGGATTGGCCCTTTAAATGCACAGTAGTCTTTATGGATTATGAGGCATGGCATTATGAAATTATGGCAATGATTATGAATATTCACACCTACTGCCACCTGGAAGTAATAAAATTCAGAACTCTGAAACATTTCGAGAAAACACAAAATACAAGAGCATGTGAGTTCTTTTTATTTCATGCTGTAGATGATGCGAAATCAAAAATACATCCGGCTTCAGAACCAAAATAGGCAAGGAAACTGATACATGAACTTGCCCTTGAGCAGCTAGTAATTCAGGAATAGTAGAAACAAGTCAGCCGTGAGAAACGATGTAGTAACAAGGTAGCTAATAGATAACAACATATCATCGAAATCACTTCACTGATATAAATTGCATAGGAAAAGAATGTTTAAATTTTTCTTTCCTAAGGGAAGAAAATTGAAATTTTTTCCCC